GGGCCACGAGGCAAGGTTACATTCAGACAATCACGTTTTCAGAGGAACTGTTTTTTGTGGAAGAAAAAAGTCACGTATGCTAGGCTGGGGATACCAGGAAGGACATCTGGGAATCAGCCTGTCCTTGCTTTCCTGGCTATGCTGACTGTTTTTTGTCTCCACTGGGCAAATCCACATGGGAACTGTGTGGTTTAGGATTGAGAGCACATGCAGAAAAGCATCCACTGTCTTTGCTTTGCCCCATGGCTGCTCTGTATTTTCCTGCTTGGGAGAATGTCCAGGGAAGGGAGAGAGGAGCTGAAGGAGCATCAACAGAGGTAGCTGCTGGTTAAAAGGCAAAACAAATGGATTAGAAGTGTGAAGAAGGAGAAGGCCACACTGCCAATCTTGAGTTGCTCTGAGCTGAGGTGGGGGCAAGAAGGGGCAGCTCAGTGGGATGGTGTTGGGGGTAGAACACCCATGAAGAATGCTTTCTAGCAAGCACAAATCGACCTTTCACTGGAGGGTTGATGATTGAGAAGTGTCTCCTCTCTAGGCAGGAGTATGCACAATAAGAGGCTTCAAGGAGTCTCAGCCTGTTTGCAACCCTCTGGAGATGAGGCTGTGCATGTGATGAACAGCTTGTTGGCACGAGTGGACAGGGTTTCCTTTTGGGGACTTCACTGGGTGAGCTCTTTGCAATCAGAGCCTGATCTGCTGTGGAGCACCCAGGTCCTTCCCAGTTTGCCACGTGGTGGGCAGCCCCTTGGGTACCTGTGACTTTGTAAAGAAACACTTGAATAGGTTGTAACAGCCTCAGCAAACGTTCATTAAACCTCTAGGAAGAGTTTAGAAATCTTCTGGAGATGCAACAGAAATCCTATAGAAAGACTACAAAAATTTCCAGTGAATGGCCAGGAAATGTTCTGAAATATTTTGGAAAGGTGCTGGAAAACCCAGTGCTAGAAAACAGAGAAGGTTCTAGAGAGCCTCCTGGGCTGGATCCTGCCCCCAGGCTAAGGCATCTGAGCAGTTTCCCTGAGGACAGATGGGGCCAGTCACTGCAGGCTTAGTGCTGTGCTTGGGGGATGGAGGCCACCACTGGCTTTTTGATCTTCAGTTTGAAGAAGGCAACGTGGGAGCCTGGGAACCTTTGGCACTACTTTAAAGTAGCCACCGTGACTCATTAACACTGATTTTTGAGGAAGTGCTGCTCTCCTGGGCCTGTCTGGGGATGCTGTGGAGCGACCCACCCCTGGGGTGTTTGCCAAGGGCTAATTGGACCTAAAGCTTCTGGGTCTGCTTCAGGGAGAGGCTGAGGTGGCAGGAAGCATGCTTCTGTCCCTCCTGACTAATGGGCCTCATCCCCCTTAACCTTGGTGAGAAATAAATCACTTCAAAAGCATCCCCCTTCTGACAGTGCCTGAGTCCCTCCAGGAGGCCCTGGACATGCCATCAGTCTCTCCTTTCCACATGTTAGCTCAGGTAGAAGCCCCCTGCTTGGCACGACACTGGGGACAGAAGTGAGGATGGAGACATTGGAGGCAATGCTGCCAGGGCATGGGGTCTTCAAGGAAGGGGCCAACAGGGGCGGGTACTCAGCAGATCTCATCTTCCCACCTTTCCCTATCACAGTGGTGCCGCCCTCCCTATCTCCCCTTCCTTCCAGGGCCAGGCAAAGCTCTTCCTCCTCACCACTCCATGTGAAGGTTGGACGTCGCTGATAAGGATGGCAACACTGGCCATTTGTCTCCCTGCATCCTGGAGGCTGGAGCGTCTCCCGCCCTCACCCGTGCCAGACCCCAACCCGCCCTGGGCTCTGTGCCTGCCTGCTGCTCTCAGCGTGGGTGACAGATTGGATTTGCAGCCCAGCTCTGGGTGCACCTTAGCCCTGCAGCAGGGGCAGATGGGGAGCACAGACATTACAGGACCATACAAGGCTTGTGGTGTTTGCTTGCAACCTCTGATGGGACTAGTCTGAAGGCCTCCACCCAAGGGTGCTGATCTTTCCCAAGGATTTCCCGATGTTTTCACAGGGGAGCAACCCTCATTGATCCCTGAAGATAACTGGTTTGAGCAGACTCAGTTCAATATGCTTCTTCAGTACTGGTGGGACTGGGCTGACTTGTGCTCTCTGCCTTGAGAGGAGAAGCTGCCCCAGCCTCTGCTGCAGGGCCTCATGTCAGGACTGGCTTGGCCTCTGAAATCCCACACGGTGTGGAAAGATGATGCAGCTGGCAGCAGCCTAAACCTGGAGTTTTGTTTTGAGGTCTGTATTTCAGTTCTTGGCACTGGCTACACAAATAAAGCTTTTTTTTTTTCTCAGAATAAATACGGTTCAGGTACTTAAGTGAGCCACTGGGGTCTCCTCCAGCACCTGAGGGAAGGGGCATTACCCCATGTACTGCAAAGAGGTTACTTGAAGCAAATTGTATTTCTGCCCAACACCTTTGGAGACCAGCTAATGAGAGGTCCTGTAACCATGAACCCCAGACATCCCAATCCTGTGAGCTTGGTCTGATGGACCCTGTGTGGATCTGTGTGTTTAAGCAACACTCATCTGTTTTCTAGTGTGTTCATACAGCACATGCAGAAAACAGTGAAGGGTCCAGGTGAAGCAGGTCCTGGTAAGCAGGGCAGGGTGCAGGGGGCTCATCAGACTTGCTGCTGCAGCTTGGGTGCAGGGCTGGCTCTGGGGTTGGCCAAGGGGAAGGGCAGTCATTTGGTGGTAACAATGTCCCTGGCCAAAGGTATAAATAGCTGCTCTGATGACCCAGGGAAGAATTGCTGTACAAGCGAGGTTAATTGCCAGCAGAAATGATGGGGACATTGTTCCTCCAAAGATAACCTGCAAAGGATGAAACATGGAGCAATTTTTTCCCCTTCAGACTGAAGGAAAAAGGCCTGAAATATTGGTGTGGTGTCTTTGTTCTCAGCTTCAGGCTGGCTCTCCCATTTAATTGTTTTTCTCTGTTCCTTGTCAATGAGAACCAAGATGGATTAACTTTTTGTTTCCCCACCATGTCCTTCCAGAGAAGAAGTGGAGATAGCTCCTGTGGGAGCTATTATCTGTTCACACAGAGATCTTTATTTTTAGCTTAAGCAAGAAATCTGGGGTTCAGGGGTGAATAAGAAGCAGCTGAAAATAATTTACTGGAAACATCTGTATTGGACAGCAGAGCTCATGGACTCATTCATAGACGAGACCTGCTACTTGCTCCTCTTGTGAGCCTGGAGGTTTTGCAGTTTGTGCCAGAGTGATCAGGCAGGTGGCCATTGGTCTGTGTTGGTGGCATGGGGCAGACAGCCATGGGTCTGTGTTGGTGGCATGGGACAGACAGCCACTGGTCTGTGTTGGTGGTACCCCTGCAATGAAGGCAGTGAGGCCCCCTGGGCCTCTCAGTGGAACTGGGAATGTTTCTCCTGAGGCTCCCTGTCCTGTCCTTTCTGTGCACTCAGTTTCCCAGACTATTTTGTCAATTTTTTATTTATTTTTTTAATGGAGCATCTCTAGCTCTTTCCTCCTTCCAGTCCCCTGCCATTTTTGGCTGGAAAGCTTTGCTGTTACTGCAAGCCAAGCCTTCCCATGCATTGATGATCACCTTGGTTGGGGGCTTAATGACCCACATCTTAGATGGGCAGAAGCCAGGAAGCCCAACTGGGGTTCCCTTCAGGCCCAGGGCACTGAGCTGCTCTCACCCCCCACAGAGGTACCCCCAGCCCCACAAAAGCAGCAGGTCTCTCCTGGTTCTCAGCTCTGTCCCACCCTGCTGGGGTCTCTGAAGGGTGATCTCTGCTGTGGCTGGAAAGGCTCCAGGGGCTGATCTGTGAGGCTGGAGGAGCCGAGGCAGTGCTTGAGGCCTCCCCTGGCCTGGGCTGGGGCTCAGCCAGCCCGCACCCGGGCGGTGGCAGCAGCAAGAAGGTTTTGTGGAGCAGCATCTCCTCTCCAGGCGGGCGCAGGGGTTTGTCAGTGCTGCTTCTGTCCTTCCTAAGGGATTTAATGCCTTATTTTCCCAAAGAGCAACAGTCTGCCTCAGCATTTTATTCACAAATGCCACTGCACGGCTGGCTGGCCATGGGGCAGCGGTGGAACAACTGCTGCAGGTTATGGATGGAGCGCGAGTCACGGTGCTGCTGTCACAGCCCTGATCACCG